TTTGTAGGAAGGTGACCAGAGCAAATGGACTGACACGGGGCTTTGACCCTGAGGGGTCGGTAATTAGGCCATAGGCCGTCTGACTTCACAGCGGCGTGTTTGGGGCTGCGTGTACATGTGAGCTTCGGGGAAGAGAAGCGGGTTCCTGTCCTCACCTGATTCCTGGTAGCCCCGCTTTACACAGCACAATCCTCCTCACCGCCACCTAAAGCAGGTATCCTCCATCGCAGCAGTAGCTACTGTCCACACAACTGTTTTTACGTCCTCATGGGTGCTTTTTGTGCAGAGAGAGAAAGTTATTTTCATCTTAAAAATTAGTATTCAAATTATTCAAAACCTAATTGTTTCTTAAGCTTTGAGGAAGTAAGTCACTCTTAAAAACATATCATTCCCTTTATAAATCCAGACAATTTTAACCCTCGCCTTAAAGAAAGATTTTTAAAATGAGGAGATTCACTTAAATGTTTCCAGCTATATCTGTACGTTTAACATGTTTGATTTTCCTTTCAAGTATTGCCAAAACAAGCAAAACCTTCCTATGTTCTTAGATGAGTTAAAGTCTATTAAACTTATAACATCTCAGCTTAAAATCATGAGCTAAATCAATTGCTCAGTTATACAACTAATTGGGAATTAGAAAGCTAAAATAGTACTCTAACAGGCCAAATTCTTTTTAAACACTTAAGCATCAAATATGTGTGTTTTTTTTAACCCCAAAATATTCATGTGTGGGTGTGATTTTCCTAAACACCCTTATACTTAATGCCGTCGAGGGTTGAGAGATGCTTCCCCATCAAGGAAGATTATGTCATTCCACACACTCCAGGAATTACCTTCTCGGATGCTTTAGACATCACAGAACAGCCAGCCTGGATGTTGGTCCTGGACTGCCGACATACAGGCCAGCTTTTCTCACAACCCTGACCTAGGTTGCATTCTCTTTTACAATTACTATAGTTTTTCATGCCTTAATTTAAGGAGGGAGTGGTTGGTAACAGGACTGACTTATCCATTAAACAGAATGGCACAATATCTAGGACCTCCGATACTTTCAGTTGTTATCACCCAAGGTGGATCGTCTGCTCGCTGCAAGACATGCCAATAGTCAGGAGGCAAGGTGGTAGGAGAGAAAGGACTTTATTACAGCTTGCTAGCAAGGGGGAAGATGGCCAACTCATGTCCAAAAGAACCATCATACAGAACAAACACTACAGGCCACTTATATATGGGGCTGTCTCCAGGTGGGGGAGGTGGCTGGTCTGTGGGTGGGGCAGACATCTGGTCCCAGTGCCTGATAGTCCTCTGTCTTACTGGATATGCATCAGAGAATGGACTAATGCCCTATACCCTGATCTTTCAGTTGTCACTATGGCCATCAGCACAGACTCTCTGCCCAGGGCTCATCACATTCCTAGAGAACTCAAAAGAACAAAGTTACCGTCTGAAAGCAGCTGGGAGGGGCCACAAAATCTGCAGAGCACGTCCGGGCTAGTTAGAGGACATTTAAAGTTACAATATGGTTTCTTTTCTACAATACGGCTTCGCTTATGTCAACCTTGTTTTGAGCAGGTATCAAGGTGTCTGCAAATATATTTTAATTTCTTTTAAAATCAGAAGAAAAATTTTAATATAATAATAATGAATATATAATGCCAAATCAAGGTTGGATTATATTCATCTTTATAATAATCAGTAATAAAATACAATTTTTAATATTTTCTCCCACAAAGACAAAAGTGCCCAGGGCCTATGAAAGTCCTAATGCAACCCTGGTCACATAGCCTGCATCCCTGGGTGTCAGTTCTATCAGACCCCAATTCTGAGATCAATTTACAGAACTCTGACACCCGGCCTAGACTGGCCCATCACGCCAATACATTTTGCACTTCTTTGGCTCTTCAGATATTAAGTATCCGAATTCACAGAATTCTGCATTCTTTTTTTATTTATACTTTTTTTTAAAAAACATTTTATTTTTCCTTTTTCTCCCCAAAGCCTCCCAGTACATAGTTGTGTATTTTCAGTTGTGGGTCTTTCTAGTTGTGGCATGTGGGATGCCGCGTCAGCGTGGCCTGATGAGTGGTGCCATGTCCATGCCCAGGATACGAACCAGCGAAACCCTGGGCCACTGAAGCAGAGTGCTCGAACTTAACCACTTGGCCACGGGGCCGGCCCCTATACTATCTTGAAGGGCATACCTTTTTTTTTTCCCCGAGGAAGATTAGCCCTAAGCTAACTACCGCCAGTCCTCCTCTTTTGCTGAGGAAGCCTGGCCCTGAGCTAACATCCATGCCCATCTTCCTCTGCTTTATATGTGGGACGCCTACCACAGCACGGCATGCCAAGCGGTGCCATGGCCGCACCCGGGATCCGAACCAGCGAGCCCCAGGCCTCAGAGAAGCGGAACGTGCGCACTTAACTGCTGCGCCACGTGGCTGGCCCGGCATACAACCTTTACATATGTTAGAATGCAATATGATTAGCAAAAATTCTGACAGTCATTTCACAAAGGAAGCTATTCAAATGGTAAATATGCACATAAAAAACATCATTAGTCATCAGAGAAATGAAAATTAAAACCACAAAGAGATAGGATTAAACACCATATATGGGTGTATAATGAGTACAGTTTTTCAAACTGACAACACTAAATGGTGAGGATGTGAAACCACCAGACGTCTCATACATTGTTCCTGAGAGCGTGAAACGGGACGATCACTTGCGAAAAGTTCTGGCAGTTTCATAACAACCCTATGACCCACAGTTCCACTCCTGGCTATCTACCCTAGAGAAGAGAAAATATATGTCCTCAAAAAGAACTTGAAAAGACGTTTAGCATCATTTGTCATTAGGGATGTGCAAATCAAAACCACAATAAGATATCACTTCACACCTACTAGGATGGCTATAATCAAAAAGACTAACAATAACAAGTGTTAGCAAGGATGTGGAAAAGTGGAACCCTCATATGTTGCTGGTGGGAACATAATATGGTACAGTACCATGGAAAACAGTTTGGCAGTTCTTCAAAATGTTCAACATAGAGTTATCATACGACTCAGCAATTCCACTCCTAAGGTACATACCCAAGAGAATTGAAAACATATGTCCACGCAAAAACTTGTGCATGAATGTTCACAGGCGCATTATACATAATAGCCACAATGGGGAAACAACACAAATGTCTGTCAACCGATAAGTGGACAAATACATGTGATATATCCATACAATGGAATATTATTCAGCCATCGAAAGGAATAAAGTACTGATTCACGCTACAACATGGATGGTCCTTGAAAACATTCTGCTAAGTGAAGGAAGCCAGACACAGAATGCTACATACTGTATGATTCCTTTTGTGTGAAATGTCCAGAACAGGCAAATCCATAGAGACAGAGAGTAGATGGCAGTGGAGAGTGACTGCTTAATGAGTACAGGATTTCTTTTTGGGGTGTTGAAAATGTTCTGGAATTAGATAGTGATGATAGTTGCATAATCTTGCGAATATACTAAAAACCACTGAATTGTACACTTTAAAAGAGTGAATTTATGACACGAGAATTATATCTCAATTAAAAAATAAGATAGATTCATGGATGGGATAGTGGGATGGTTAGATGGGTAGACACAGGATAGAACAAACACAGCAAAATGTTAACTGTAGAATTTAGGTGATGGTTATACGGGTGTTCACAGTATAATTCTTTCAACTTTTCTGTATTATGCAACTTTTATAATAAGATAATGGGAAATGCAAGGTCAAAATTCTTTTCATAATAATACTAAGATGTTATTTGCTATTTTCCTTCTCCCATGAGAGTACAATACAGTTTTCCAGAAACTACATGACATGTAAAGTCGTAACAGATTGACTACAGAAGTTGTAAAAATCTTCTCTTCTTAAGCCAGACATGAGAGATTTGCAAAAATGTAAAACAATGCCTTTCTCACTAATTTTCTTGTTTTAGAAAATAGTTATTTTTCATAAAAATGTTATTTATATTAGTATGAAATGTGTTTATTATAGTTATTTTTAAATGAATTAATAAATAAATATTTTTAAATTTCTCAGTTTTAATATCTGGCACATCAAATATCACAGATATCATTCACATCAAAAATTCTTTGGGGGGCCGGCCCAGTGATGCAGCAATTAAGTTCACATGTTCTGCTTTGGCGTCCCGGGGTTCGCCGGTTCAGATCCCGGGTGCAGACATGGCACCGCTTGACAGCCATGCTGTGGCAGGCGTCCCACATATAAAGTAGAGGAAGATGGGCATGGATGTTAGCTCAGGGCCAGTCTTCGTCAGCAAAAAGAGGAGGATTGGCAGCAGATGTTAGCTCAGGGGTAAACTTCCTCAAAGAAAAAACCCCAAAAAACAAATAAAAAAACCCCAAAATTCTCTGGGATCCTAATAATTTTTAATAGCGTAAATGAGTCTTGAAACCAAAAGCTTTGACAACTACTACCAAGGTTTTATTCTGCCACACACCTCATTGGAGGAAAACTCTGCAGTCATTGAAATGGTGCATGAAAACATATTTATTGAATGAAAAGATATTTTCTTTATTGTTAAGTAGGTATGGTGTGATGCTATACTTAATTAAAATAAATGTGTGGATGTTTGTCTATCCATAGGAAAAATGTACAAAAGGATACATACCAATTAATGCTAATTATTTCTAGGCTATAAGATTATAGAGATACTTAGTTTCTTCTTTATTCCTTTTCTATATATACTGATTTTTTAAAAATGTTATTGTGGTAAAAAACACATAACATAAAATCATCTCAACCATCTTCAACTGCACAGTCCAGTGATGTTAAGCATATTCACCTTGTTGTGAACCAGATCTCCAGAGCTTTTTCATCTTGCAAATCTGAAACTCTGTACCTGTTGAACAAGTCCCCATTCTCCCCTCCCCCAGTCCCTGGGAAGCACCATTCTGCTTCCTGTCTCTATAAATTTGACTAATCTAGGAGCTTCATATAAGTGGAATCATACGGTATTTGTTTTTGTGTGTGTGACTGTCTTATTTCTCTTAGCATAATATCCTCATGGTTCACCCACGCTGTAGCATGTGATAGAATTTCCTTCGTCTTAAGGCTCAATGATATTCCATTGTATGTATATACACATTTTTATATATTCACCTGTCAATGGACATTTGAGTTGCTTCTAGATATATTTTTTTAAAAGAACATGAATTCACTTTATAAACAGAAATAAAATAAAGCTATTTCCATTTCCCTCACAAAGCACAGGCATCAAAGAGAGGGAAAGGGAGGTACAAAGATCTTTAACTTAGTTGATCAGCCTCCTGTCCAGAAGTTAATCAACTATGATAGAAAAAGAAAAGATTGTCCCTAATCCCAGCACCCATGAAGAAGAAATAAGGGTTTGAGCTGCTTCCTTTCACATAAAATCTGTATTCTAATTTGACCCTTTCACTCAGAATATTGGAATCTCTCCTACCAACTGTCTCACCATACTTACTGCTCTCCAATTTAACCCGAGAACACTCATCTAGACCGCCCCTGAATTTCACGCATGCTGCATGCGTATGAGCAAGAAGTCCGAAAGTTTACCATACTGTAAGGGGGATTCTGTCCTCAGAGAGCTAAAACCATTATAAAATATCAAAGCGCATCTTGCCTTTTAGATGATCTGATGGTGTATTTCTAGCATTCTCTTTTAATGGTCATAGAAACCTTTTAAAAACTTTTTACTATGGACAATTTTCAGATAAACACAAAAGTAGATACAATAGCACAATGCAACTCTATTTCATTCGTCTTTTGCTGTGTAACCAACTTTGGCTGGTGTGACTTGAATCACCAGCGCTGGAATCATCCGGCGATTTCCTCACTCATGTGTATGGTTCCTGGGCTGGGCTGGCTTGGAGCCTGAGCTGTGCTGGGGCTGTCAACTGGAGCATCTACTCATGGCCTCTCCCTGGGCTTCTCCTAATGTGGCAGCTGGGTTCCCAGAGGGAGCACACTAAGAGAAAGTATGGGAGAGAAAGCAGACCAAGAGGATGAGGTGGGAGCTGCAGAGTCTTTTCCGACCCAGCCTCAGAAGTCACACTGTGTCATTTCTGTCGTACCATATTGATTAAAGGGCTTAAAAGCCTGCCTAACAGTCAAGGGGAAGGGACATAGATCCCCACCTTTCTGTGGGAGGATGGAAAGGTCAAATTACAGAAGAACATGTGCGATGGGAAATATTGTTACGGTCATATTCAGAAAATAAAATCTGCTGCAGCCATGGCACCCCATCGCCCGGCTTCAATAATTGTTCACTCACGGTCCATCTTGTTTCACCCATCCCCATACCCACTGCGCTCCTCCCGCTGAGTTCATTTTGAAGCAAATCCCAAATATATCAGTGTACTGATAAACACATCAGAACACGACTCTAAAAGATAAGGATTCTTGAAAAATAGCCACACACAGATGTTAGCTCAGGGCCAATCTTCCTCAGCAAAAAGTGGAGGATTGGCAGTGGACGTTAGCTCAGGGTTAATCTTCCTAAAAAAAAAAAAGAAAAGAAAAGCCACAATGCCATTATCCCACCTTAAAAGCTTAACAATAACTTGTTTAATATCATGAAATATCCAGTCTATGTTTCCCTAACTGCCCCACAAACATTTTTTAATAAAGTTTATTTGTTTGAGTTTGGATTAAAATAAGGTTATTGCTAGTCTTTCTCAATAAGTTCTTCAATACAAGTTTTTCCTTCAGAAGTGAATGCACATTTGTCCCGCTTACCTCTGAAGAGCATCAGATTGAGAATAAAGGTTTGTCCCCATCAGCACACCTAATGATTTCCAACCTAGTTGCAAATGAAGTAAGTTAGTGAGATGTATGTTTCTCATCAATAGTATTTTCCATTTATACTTATTTTATGAAATAATGCCAAAGTCTAATGCAATATTCAAATAACTACACAGTCATGACCAAACCAACTATTCAATAAATTTTATAGAAGCAACTGCCCCTCCAAGATACACTTCAAACAGTGGCCATTACAAGGCCTTAGTCACTGGCGCTGAATGGGTTCCACTACAAGGGCAGTTTCCTACACAGGCCACCTTCCTTATTAACTCCTCATCTGGAGTCAACAAAGCAGGGAATACTCTCAACCCACTTCATAGCACTTATTTCTTGGGAGAGCCAAGACCGGACGCCTGGCCAAAAGCCAAGAACACAGTAGAGATAGGATAGTATACAGATTACACATGTAATATTAGGATAGGACACCTCCTTCCTATATCTCAAGCCCAACCATGTCCCTATTTCCAATGCATTTTCTGGAAACACTCCCTTATCTGCCCTGCGTTTGTGCTGCTTACACTGTTTACAGAGCTTGGGGGTAACAGCAAACAATATCCCACTTAATTCACATTATTGTGCTTTTTTGGCATGAGTATAATTAACAAGGTCTCCCAAGGCCTTCATCATCCTAAAGACAGGTGGCCAAAATTGGACAGTCAGATCTCCTCTGGGGACTTTTGAATAATTGTTCAGCCTACACCATAATAACCTACCTGGTTCTTGTGTGTGACCGCTGGGACTTATAAGTCATTATCCTGGGATACTTCCTGCTTTCTCTGACACTTTCTGGCTCACTTACTGGCTTCAAGTACCCACTTTCCTACAGACACAGAGAGATACACATATTTATAGGGAATAGTAGACATAAGCTTAATAGAAGAAAACTAGAAACTATCTATATCTATAGAGAAATGCACATCCATGTTCTATAAACAGACATCTATACAAAACTGGAAACAGAATATCTACAGTTTGCCTTTTAAAAATATAAATCTGATCATATCACATCCCCCACCCCAGGCTCGAAGACCATTCAGTGGCTTCCCATTGCTCCCAAGATACTTCACGGCCTTTCAACGTCAGTCTCTATGTCCCCAGCTGCCCCTCTCTCTCTCTCTGATCCAGCTGCATCCCAGGACCTTTGCACCTGCCATCTTCTTAGCCTTGAATGACTCCTCCTTGCACTCCCCCCTTTTTTGGTGAGGAAGACTGGCCCTGAGCTAACATCTGTGCCTATCTTCCTCTATTTTGCATGTGGGTTGCCACCACAGCATGGCTTGATGAGTGGTGTAGGTCCGTGCCCGGGATCCGAACCTGTGAACCTGGGCTGCTGAAGTGGAGCACACTGAACTTAACTACTACTCCATGGGCCGGCCCCCTCCTGCCCCTTTTAAACACTATCTGCCTCCCCAGTAAGACTGGAAGCTCCAGAGTGCAGGGACCATTCCTGCTTGCTGCTTACAGCTGCCTGGCTCATTGCTTGGCACATTGTAGGCACCCAATAAATATCTGCTCGACTAGATGAATAAACGAATATGGGAAAGCACCTTGAAGAACAGCATGCACTCGAAACATGTGAACTTCCTTCTTTCCAGCCCCTACCACATTTCCGCTTTTACTTTCTCCTTGTTTCAGAGTATAGTTTGATCACTGAAAAATTAAAACTAAAACTTAACTTTAGTAAGTTTCAACCCAATAACTCAAAACAACATAGCATATGTAAACTATTTATACAGCCTCAAGGGAACCCCAAATGCCTAAGAGACTGCCCTCTACACTAGGAAAATCTTAATTTTCTAGACAGGCAAGTGAAAAGATGATTATTTTATAAAGATGCCCTGAAATCAGCCTGTTGTCTTACAATTGTTTGTAGCTGTTGACCAGGTGAACCTTGTGTGAGTCCCTAAAAACCCAGTACCACTACTGAAATCAACCCAAAGGCCACATGGAAGTGATGCCACTTTATAATTATTAAACGATTCACATGAACTGTCCTAGTGCATTTGAAGATTTTTAATTCTAAATCATTTTCATCACATAATTTGTGAGTTGCCAAATCTGGGTGATAGAGTGGAAAATCTCTGGACCTGGAATCAGAAGCTGGGTCTAAATCTACTTTACAAGGGTATCGTGAATATTAAACGAAGCAATAATAAGAATAAAAACTCATCTGTTGAACACCCCCTTCATATTGTATATGGAGCTGGATGTGTTATATATATTAAGTCAATTACTTCTTTAAAAAAGCACTATGAAATAGGCATTATTACCTGCACTTTACAGATGAAAAAGTTGAGGCTCCCAGAGGTTGAAAAACTGGCCCAAGATCCCACAAAGTGTCTCTGAAATGATAATTTCTATTAACATTACCGCCTGTTTCTCTCTCCTACGTACCCATATATTCCTCTTATCTGGCATAATGGATCAAACCAATTTAGATCCAGGAGCCAGAAACTCATGTGATCTCAAGCAAGAGATCATCATGTGTGCAAGTCACTCTGTTTCGCTTCCTCATTTGTGTTCTCCCAGTTTCCATATTAGTAACTCACATCTGGACCGCACTGGCCCACATCTTGGGATGTCATGAGGATACACTATTTAGAAAACTCTCAATGGTCCACTTTTCAAATCACCCAAATAGTCCAAAGAAATTGGTGTGACTTTTGCCCCACGACAACTGGGGCACAGAGTGGGATGTAGGATCAATGTCACGACAAAAGTAGAAAAAGAGCCGAGGCTTCTGCTTTTTCACCTCCACATCTGCCTCCATATGACCTCCTGGTGGCTTGCTGTTTATACATGAATATTTTTTCTGGTGCATAATTGTAGGACATAAGCCTGATTCAGGTTGCAAAATAGTAACTGATACACACAAAATCTCTCAACTATAACTCAATTAACTATACATTTAACTTTTAAGTTGCTTAAGAATAGATAGATCTATGCAAATTAGATATAAATTTCAAAACAATCCATTTTTATTTATCGCCTTATTGGTGGTGCGATCTAAGCGGAAAGTTCTAAGAGTTTTTGTGTTATTTGCTTACTGAATAAATATTTATTGGATGCCTACGAAGCGCCAAGCACAGTGCCTCGAGCTTCGGTGAGCAAGACAAACCCCATCTCTGCTTTCTCAGAGTCTATAATCTAGCGGAAGAGGCCCACGTGGAGCAACATTCACTATACTAACAAACGTGGTAAGCTCCAGCGAGTTCGGGATGCTGTAAAGAGAATGTCTTGGGAGACCTCAGCTGCCTGGAGGGTCAGGCAAAACTTCTTTGAGGAAGTTACATGTCAGCTGAGACAGGCTGCCATCTGCTTGGGGTTGTGTAACTGCCTTCACATCCCGATTCTGACGCTTGCACATGTTAATATCTAAGAGCTTGGGTCCTCGTGTGCAAAATGAGGATAATACGCACTTGGCAGAGCTGTGGGATTTACAGAATACAGATAAGCACCTCTTATGGTACCAGGCATATAGGAAGCCCCAAGTGCACGGTGCTTGTTATAATTATACATCGATGTAGGCATCAAAAGGAAACTGAAGAAAAGTTTGGTCAACAGCTAAAGATCAATGTGTAGAGGGGAAATTTGGCACAGGCTCCAAATTCAAGGGATTGTCACTACCCCACACTTGTGTGGAGGCTTCATGTCCTGAGTTTCAGGTGTTGGAGCACCTAATACTTGACGGCCCTGCTAAACTCTGTTCTCCTGCGACGTTAATAGGGAATTTTGGGAGGTTGATTTCTTTCTAGCTGTAGGTTAGCCAATGCCCAGGTCAGATTCTTCAGGCGAAAGTAAGATTTCCGGGAAACAGTTCTCTGGCCAGAGGACACACCATTGATCAAATTTTGCCACGCGCAAGTGACAAGCAGGTGTTTATAAACCAGATTGGGGAGGAGCGGGGAGCGTAGGGAAGCGATGAATGCGCAACGAGAAGCTTTAGTTGAGGGTCAGAAGACCCGGCGCCACCCAGATGGGACCTGGAAGAGGGAAACGGTGGTGTTCCCACCAGAGCGCACAAAACATTGTGCTTCGGGAAGCCGAGTCCGAGATGCCCAGCGCTCCTCCCCGGGCGCTCCCTCCCCAGGCTTCCTGGGCGATTGGATCCCGGCCATGTCCGCGCCCTTGCAATGGGTGTGGGTGATTTTGTAACCGCGACTGCCACCGAAGGGAAAGCGTGCAAGGAAGCGGGAGTGAGCGGGGGAGGCGGGGCGGGGAGGGAGGGAGCAGTGGGAGGGATGCAGGTCAGGAGTGGGAGGATGCCGGGCGCAGTGGGAGGGGTGAGGAGGAGCGATAGCGTGGAGGAGAGGAGAAAAGGGCGCTGTGGGCTGGCGGGAGGAAGTGCGCGAGGTTGCTGCGCCGCCGCCCGCCGGTGGGGCAGCCAGGTGAGCTCGAGATGCTGCTGCGCTGGACGGGGGGGCTGCCGCTGTCGCCGCCGCTGCTGCTGCTGCTGGGGCCGCTCGGTCCCTTCTCCCCGGGCGCCCGGGCGGGCCCCGCGCAAGCTGAGGACGCCGTGGAGCTGGACTTCTCCACCGAGCGGCCGGTGCACCTGGTGAGCCCCGCCTTCCTGTCCTTCACCATCGACGCCAACCTGGCCACGGACCCGCGCTTCCTCACCTTCCTGGGGTAAGCGCTGGCCTCCCGGTCCCTGTCCCTCCCCTGTGCTCCTGACATCCACGTCCGGCTGCCACCACTCTCCTCCCTTTTGCCTCTCTAGGCAGCCACCCACAAACCACTCTTTACCGCCTTCATTCATTCATGGAGTGTTGCCCGAGCGCCAACTAAGGGCCGGGTTTTAAGGGGAAATTTGGAAAAGAAACTTGAATTTGCTGCATAGTCTAGGACAAGTGAGATTGTGAACCAGGCTTCCGTCTCTTAAACTGATAGATACATTTTAATAAACTTTTAAAGAGCAGTTTTAGATTCACAGCAAAATTGAGCACAAGGTACAGAGATTTCCCATATTACATTCTTTTCATTAAAAAAACTAAAAATATTTTCTAAATGAGACCTGGAATACTATTGCAGTGACTTACAGAGCCTTACTAAAAAGAGCTCTCTGTAAGATGAGGCTGCAAAACGTGCCACCGCTTTATCAGTGGTAATTTTTTTCTCACCTGAGACAGACTGAACCTGGCGCAGGCTCAGCCGCCCCTGCTCTAGGAGTGCAGGCTGATCCCAAGACAGGGAGCTGCAGAGACAGTCCCAGGTCATCTGGGCCACTCATCTAGGTCATGAGAGCCTGCGGAGACAGTCACACCCCAGCCACCTCAGACAGCTGGGAATCTCGCCGTTGCCTGACAGCACCATGCTGTCCTTCCTCTGCCCATGCTGTCAGCTGCCATTGCTAATTTCAGTCCTTTATGTTGCAAATAAGAGCAGGTAGCCTAATGGGTAAGAGATTGGCAGTCAGACCTCCCTGGCTTGATCCCCAACTCTGCCAAAGTTGGGTGGCTTGGTTTTTACAGGTGGCTTGACAACTCCAAGCCTCAATTTCCTCACCTGTGGAATGGAACTTCTACAACCTTCTTGTATGATTGTGATGAGGATCTGATGAGATAATAAGTAAGTTCTTAGCACAGTGTTTGACACAGAGTGTTCAAAATTTAAGCTAATTGCTTCCTTCGGAAAATAGTGAGTATTTGCTAACCACTGACCAGTTCTCTGTGTTTCTTTTGATCATAGTTAACTTCCTTCTTTCCTGCTGTGGCAGGAGAGGCAGACTTTCCTGGTGGGGAGGAGGCCCCACTTTTCTCCTTCCCCTTTGGGATAGGAGGTCGATACCAGGCAGCAGCTGGTTGGAAGACAGAA